TTTGTGAACACTAATTTCTTATTGGCTGTCAGCAGTGAGTTTTTTTAAAGCACGCCCAATGAGTAACGATTGCCCACTGCTGATATCCAATAACGTGATTAATAATGATTACTTTAAAAAGATGAAGCGCTTGGTGTATTCATTATTTGATTTGAGTACTTATTACATTACATTACCTGTACATAGCTTGAAAATCGCAGATCAGTTTGCATTTAATAATAAAGAAGAAGAGTTTATGATCCTCAGACTTTATCTACTATTTCAGTACGCATGTACTTCTACCTACAACTTTTTTCATCGTTGTTAAACATCAATTACATTTACTAGTATTAACTTCTCTTGTAAGTTTATCGGGATAGCATTAAGCGTCCAGGATATAGGAATATATCGAAAGAATATATTAACTTGATTAATCGCCAGAAAAACTGTAGTAGCGCAGACAAAGAACTATTTCATCATTGTCAGATTAGATTCTACCCAATCATAATCTCGATTGCTAAGAAAAATGAAAAATTGACCTAGAATGAAAATTACAACACCACCCGCATTCTACGAAAAAATAAAGCCCGCATAAGTTATGTTAATCAAACCGATTCGCTTCCTTAAAAAAGAGTAATGATTTCTCCAACGACTGATAGGTATGAGAAATAAGTTTCCTTTAATACTTAGTGTTAAACGTATAAATCAGAGCTGCCACTTAAATTGGCGAGATATTTTCAGACGTCGGCGTCGTGCGGTCAGTAAGACAATGGTGGATTTTGATGCACAGCCACTTGGAAAATTGCAAAAACCTTAGCGGATCCCCGGCGATTACATACGACAGGGCCATCAGTCAGCGGCTTAGGAGGTGTTGCGTTCCTCCCTTCTTTTAATATACAAGAAACAACTGGATATATATCAGCAAACTAAAGGAAACTTTGTCATACAGTCTGACAGTGCATTATCTGGAAAAGAACGAAATCAGAACTCCCCAAATAAATTATATTGTCGTTAGAAGCACGGAAATAATTGTGATGAATTCGTTGCAATTATTATCACTTTTGAAAGATTCAGATTAATTGTGAACTCTATATAATTATTGTATGTTTAGGAACTATAATTAGTTAGCAGTTAGCATCAAGGTCGTACTCATTAGTGAACAATTAATTTTATAATTTCATATGGTTCACATACAATTTCATCAAATCCAATCGTACGAGTGTAATACATAATTGTTTATTCTCGTCATTATAAGAGTTTTAAAGCGGTTTTGAAATTTTGATACTCTGCGCTCTCATCAACTATTAATTCAAACCATTTCCCTCCCCCCCCCCTCCCCCCGTGAGGATCAGCGAAGTGTCTTGAAATAACTGTTAAAAGACACGTGTGACCATGATCATTTAACTGGAAATACTTTTCCCCCTGTAATCATGGATAAATTTGTCATTGGAGCCAAAAAATTTGACGATTGTACTGGGTGATCTAAGAAGAGAAAGTTAAGCAGGTTTCACCGATAAGAAAACACAGGTGATTAGGTAAATAAATTTTTTTTAATTAATTAATTATTTCAATTGATCGCTTGTTGCATGGTATGTGTACTCTGTCCCTGGGTGCCTATTTTAATTTTAGCCTTCTTGATTGATTTTGTCTACTAAATTTGTTTCATCTGTAAATGTTTTATGTTGTATTCCAGGAGATAAGAGTTTCCATGCTAAATTTTTCTGTTGGTACCCAGTGTTATGCCAGGTGTTCAAATAAAGTTTTGTAATACAATCCTTTGGAATTGTGGAAAATTATAATCATTTCGTTTAAATATTTTGTTTGTACCTGTGTTTAATTAAACTATCTGGACAGGTGCTTGTGGGTAGTTTAGTGACCGTTTGCCATTCCACAATGTATAGAACAACACTTGTTTCTGATTCTTTATAAACAGAAATTGCATGAAGGGCATTTTACTGACTCCGTGCATGATACAATGGTATTTTAAAATGACGTCGTTTTAGACAAATAGACAATAATAGTCGTAATTCTAAACTTCTGCAGTAGTTTTCGTGAGAATTACACTCCAATTTTCCAGGATTTCTTTAATGAGCAAGCTGTATTAGGATTATTTAGGCAGCTGTGTTCAGCGCCAGTGCATAATGCAATGATGTAAAAATATGCACTAATCTATAATATTAAAATAAGTCGGGTTTTCCTTCCTGACGCTATAACTCCAAAACGGCTGGACCGATTTGGCTCATTTTGGTTTTGAATTATTTGTGGAAAATAAAAAAATCGTACGGGAAGAGGTAAAAAAATTGAAAAGTTCCTTACGGTCGAGTTTTGCTTGCTACCGTTGCAGTTAACATGGCGCGCAAGCGACTTCGTGCCTTATTATCTTTAGCATATTTAAAGTTCCTTTCGGTCGAGTTTCGCTTGCTACCATTGCTACCAAAAAAACACCATTGAATTTATCTATATATATAAAAATGAATCGCCGAAATTTATGTACGCGCATCACTTCAGAACGACTGCACCAAATTAGATAATTCTTTTTTTGTTGTGTTTCTCATTATCAGGACAAGGTTTGTAAAAATTGTACGGAAAGACGTAAAAACAAGACTTTTCTCTTTCGCCGTTTAAATCGCAATATAACTAATAGATGGCGTCAACCGTTTATACGTTCACTGCCCACTGCTGCATTATTTACACGAACTATTTTTTTTCTTTCGTCGTACAAATCGCAATCTTCCATGTCTATTGTCTATCTATCTATACATATATTATTACGCGCATCAACGACTGCTTGCTTTTTTTGTTATCGAAACATGTAGGTAATGCTCTCTTTTCTTAAAAATGAAAGCAAACAAATGCACGCAAAGGATGCAAACGTTACTATATCATTTATGAAAATAATTGTCTTCGACATATTCAATATAAATTCGTACCTACCTACCCTACATCTGCGGCTACTTTAAAAACATTTCCGCAAATTCTATTTATAAAAAGGGCAAGGTTTGCCGTGACTTCAACAATACATTCTGAGGACGACCCAACATACAATTAAGCCATAAAGGGATTAAATTTACCAAATTTTTAAGAATTTTAAGTAATTTAAGATTTACTATATAAACTACAGTATGATGCGGGCTTTCTCTCGCTTGGGGTAAAAGTCGGGGTCGGATAAACGCAGGGACGTCCCGGAGGGGGGGCAGGATTTTTCATTATTTGGCCAACTCTTCGGAAATAATTCACCAATTAATTGGAAAAGAAGATACGACGATGGTCAAATTAGAGAAAAGATGCGCAATTAAACCATTATCGTGCTTTAGAGAAAACAAAAAAATTCCGATTACTTCCGAAGATATGACAGAAAAAACAAAACTTGCCGATTTTATGTTTATTTTTTGCTAATTGCTGGTGTTATTTGAACAGATACAACGAGAAAGACAAAAAACACTTTTTCATTGCCAGTAGATGACCAATGTATGTTCTGGATCAGGAAGTGTCGTCACAGCCAATCAGAGACGAGCTCGTGACGTCACAGCCAATCAGAGACGAGCTCGTGACGTCACAGCCAATCAGAGACGAGCACGCCCCCCTATGCCCCTCCCCCTTGGCCAATGGGATACGGTAGGCGGAGCCTTTAGGGGCCGCCCCCTGTGGCGTCACAGCCAATGAGCGGTGTGGTCGGCCATTTTGGATCGAGCGCCATTTTATTAGTCACCAAATCCGCCATCTTGGATTGGTCGCCATTTTGTTAGTTTCTATTTCCGCCATCTTGGATCGGTCGCCATTTTATTAGTCACCAAATCCGCCATCTTGAATCGATCGCCATTTTATTAGTTTCTAATTCCGCCATCTTGGATCGGTAGCCATTTTATTAGTCTCTAATCCCGCCATTTTGTTGGGCGCCATTTTATTAGTCACTAAATCCTCCATCTTGGATCGGCCGCCATTTTATTAGTATCTAATCCCGCCATTTTGTTGGGCGCCATTTTTGACCGTCTGTCTGTCTGCCTCTCTCGCTCCATCCGCCATCTTGGATGTTATTTTGGAATCGCGTCATCGGTCACGTGATTGCTATAGACAAAATTTTTTTTTTTTTTTCAATCTGCGTTGGGAATCGAACCCACGATACGTGAATTACGAATCTGCCGCCTTAACCATCTGAGCTAAGCGAGGCTTTGAGATATGAACGTTTAGCAGTTCAAGTATTGTTAGAATGGCCGTATAAGCTCACAAGCCACACAACGCTACGGAGAGCGTTGAGATGTTTGCGAGTTGTAGAAGGGTATAACGCGGGGGTGTGTCGCCGATAGGGGCTAGGGGCTAGGGGCTATTTGGCGGGGAAGCGCGTTAAAATGATTACATCGTATTCGATTACGTAATTCACAGTCTCTTTGCAATACGTTGGGGATCTTGATCCATATTTTCTTTAGTAACAGCGCGCGAAATTTAGTTGTTTGTTATTATAATTAGGATGGGAAGCTGCAATCTCGCAATAGTGTTTATTTATAGCAGCTATGATAAGACGCTTAAATCGTGTGCGAAAAATCTTATCTTCTTTATGCTTTATTTTTAGACGCATTATTCTAATATTACATTCTAATATGACATTGGTTTTCGAATATGCTTTGACGAAATACAATCATTACAATAAATCATTAGCGGAGCGGGTCCATCGATGTGAGTGCGCTGCCACGGCTGGTTCCAATGTTTCTTACATCGTATTCGATTACGTAATTCACAGTCTCTTTGCAATACCTTGGGGATCTTGATCCATATTTTCAATAATTCCTCTACACTTAAACTTAACAATTCGCTCTTCGTCTCGATATAATTAGACTCCTTTTGAGCCTCTCGCTGAGCGATGTTGGCAAGTATTCGATCCATTAGCGTTCGATATGAGGATTTAACGCAATGATTTTTAGCATACCTCGTTCTCAGTTTTATACCTATACCTTTAAGATACACTGCGCATGATGGATTGCTTTTAATCCCCTCCAAAATAGTTTTAAGAGAAGGTATAAAAGCAATAAGAAAGTAAGAAATCGATTTATATCGAGATGAGTGCACAAATACAACAAGAATCGCAAGATTCATGGGGTAGTGAAGATGATGATGATGATGATGCAAAGTCATCGCTTTCGGTAGATAAATTATTGGTGAATGAATCATCGAAAGAGGAGGAGCAAGGTATGCATTGAATAACGCAGATTGTGGTGGAAGCAAAAGATGTATGTTTATAGGAAAGGAAACCTTAATATCCGCATGGTCGCTATTCTTAGACGGAGGCATTATTCTCGAAGTTGGCGTTACACTGGACGAGTACTTTTTCGATTCCATCGTGCAAATATCATGTCCTCCGCATTATGAAGACCAGTATTTACAATTTGAGAGTTGCGAATGGAAAGAAATATTCAATTTTAAAACGGAACACTTAATTAAACATATGGTGCAGTGTACGCCTAAAAGAAGGAGCAAGCATGAAATTTTTACCCAGTCCAAAATAATAATACTTGAAGCGGAAGAAGAAGAAGGCGTTAGATGTATTCGAATAAGCGAATCAGATAAATCTATACTATTTTCCAAGCAAGCAGTCGATATGATATTTAACGCTTCCGAAGTGATTACTCAAAAACTGAATGTCGTCAATCACTATGCGATGTATTGTCTTTATGATGACTTTACGCGTGAGTTGGCAAAAATTCTACATACCGAAGGTGTTACTAGCGAAGAGAGCATTTTATCCAGAGCGAAAATCATATGCCAAAATCTCAAATTCTTAACATCGCTATGCAGTTGGAAGGAAAAGTATGATAATTTGCAAGACTTTACTCTTCTAACAGAAATTGTAAACATTCACCCTCGAAAATTTATAAATACGGTTGTTAGTAAAATTAGCATGTTAAAATAAATAATTTTATAGCGTAAAAAATGCTTTTTATTTATTCATACGTATCGATACACAACAACTTATTATCCACCTAATGCCGCATATACAATTCAATTTGTTTATCAAACTTTAAAAGTTTAGCTAATACATTATATAATTGCTCCAATACGCCTTTATTAGCACAATGAATATTGAATAAGGATAGATCAATGTCACCTGATTGAATTACACGACCTGTATATTCACTATATTTATGAAATTTATTTCCGGTGATAAAGTATAGGTATCCATCCATGTATTTGAATATAGAAGTTATCTTAGCCGGAATATCCGGAAAGGTTTCCGCATATATTAAGCGATTTTTAGGCCGATGACTACAATCATCCAAATCTAGCAGTTCATTTGCACCATGATAAATAAGCGTGCATCCGGTATAGGTGTTAACTGCAGCATTCACTTTATGGCTGTTGGGAATTGTGAAGTGGCTATAAGGTTGAGGCCATCCTGGTAGCAGTTGCAGACTAGGGAATTGCACTATGTATATGCGACCGCCACTAAAGAAGACAACATCACCGTTAGGCTTTTGATATACCGCTTCCAAACGTTTAAAAGATGCCGGAAGAAACGTTAACCACTCAAGCAGATTCTTGGCAGGTTCCACTTTGCTGCTGTTTAACGCCGATATCCAAACCCAATGTTCATAAAACATATAAAGTCGTTTGTTTAGAATCAAAAAGTGTTCGATTTGAATGGTACACAGGTCAGGTGGTTTAATGGTCTTGCGAGTAGTAGTCTTGAGAGTAGGTGTAGTTGTCTTAATACCCGTTGAAAGATGATAAGTTTTATTCTCTGGTGAAGGGGTGGCAGCAGCAGCAGCATCAATAGGATATAGTGCTCGGATTCCGGCTATATCATCCTCATGTAGCGTGTTCATATTTGAATTGTAATAAGGAAACATGAGTGCATTTTCATCGCTCGAATGGTGTAATCCGAGAGTATGACCTATTTCGTGTAAGACAACTTGGAAATAACTAGAATAACCGGGGGGAGGTGCATTTGCATCTGCTACATGCCAGCGTTCTTCCCAATCTATATGCATTTCAACAACATTCTGATCTCTGGAGGGAAAGTATGCATGGGCTAATATATTGCCCAATCCATCAAACTCGAATGCACATTGCGGATATGGTGGTGAAGCGAATTTATGCTTTCGGGTATGAAATGATATTAATATGTCTGGATTCCTTGAGCTATATCTGAATGTAAAATTTGTGTGGTTCGCCCAAACTTGAAATGCTTTATCCGTCATCTGTAAAATGTGCAGGTCATGCATATTGGAAATATAGTAAATCAAAGTCTGTTTTGTCCATTTATACCGATGAGTCATATACGCTGCTGGATCATCAATATTTCCGCATCTAGGTCGAGACATGAGTTGTAATGTTTCGGCATTTAATCTGCCATCACTAGGTAGTTTATAGAGTTCTTGAAATTTCTTTAAAGCGTTACGGTGATATTTGTACGATTATCTTGAGTTGATTCACCTTCACCAGGCTCCTTTATATATCCATATTTGGTGAGATGACTATATGCCATATCGATTTCACGCTCACTGATTGTATCGCTGCCGTCGTCGACATTATCCGCAGCAGCAGCAGCAGCATTAGCACTAATACAGAAAAACCAGCTCAGTACGACAACTGCAGCTTGCATGATTGTAAAATCTATACTGATTCAAAATTTTCTTTTGGAGGACTAATAAGGATGTGGTAGTGGGGGGGGATATATATTGAAATGAATTAAAAATTAGGTTATAAATACTTAATCTTCTCTCAACGACATAATGGTGCAGACTGTAATCGATGTACAAGGCTTTAAAACATCAAGAAACGTATATACTATAACCATCACGGAATTAAATGGGAGCATGGTCATACGCCATCCTACATGTTTCCAATTATACTTCGCCAGTTAATATCATCATCAGACCAAGTATACGTTAAAGGAAAAGAAAAAGCCGAGATTTTCATTATAACTTTATGCAGCATCAATTTAGCGACGACCGCTTAAAATTGTTGTACATGGATACCGATAGTTTAGTGTGTGAGATGTTATGTGATGATGCATACGATTTGATACGCGCAAATATTTCTCGATTCGATACGTCTGATTATTCTGAAAATAACATCTATAACATTCCAAGATGTAATGGTGAAGTTTTAGGAATGATGAAGGATGAATTGGGCGGTAGAATCATAACCGATTGGGTGGCTTTGGCTTCTAAAATGTATAGTTTTAAAATTAAGGATTGTGATAAGGATGTAATGAAATTAAAAGGCGTTAGAGATTATATTGTAAAAAAATAGATTAACTTTTGATGATTATTTAGAATGTTTAAGGAGCGGGATTACTAAAAGTGTCGCCCAAAGCAGCATCGTATCAAAGAATCACCATGTATATAGTATGGAGCAAAAGAAAGTTGCCTTAAGTAATAAGGACGATAAGAGGTATTTAACCTCAAATGGTATTGATACGTTGCCTTGGGGACATTATAGTATTCCCGCTGAAATGGATTTAGGATAAGAAAATATATCGAATGGATGTTCATATTTATAGTTGATTATATAATATTATATTTTGTTTATTTATTGTAAAAGAAACATGTATATGAAAATATATAAATAGCAGTTATACAAAATCTGATTTTTTAATCCAAGAGTCATGCGATTTGTCCATCCCAAGCCATCGAACGTAGAGCTGGTCTCCTTTGCGCCTCAAAACTTTCTCAATGAGAAAGATATCCCGATGAGCGGTTTTCTGTAATTCTTCTGCGTAGAATTGACCCATTATCGGTTTGGATAGTAAATCCTCTAATAGATATGTAGCGGGATTGCCAACCTTCACTTTTGTAATTTTAAATAATTCTGTGGAAAAGTTCGGAGTATAGCCTTTTGAAAATACGGACTTATACTTCGAGATCCGAACGTAGTCACCAATTTTAAATTTCGCGGGCCCCATAAATTTTATGTTGTGGAACATTGGTAAATATGTTTTAGAGGTTACATCCTTGGGTTTCATTTTAATCGTGGAATGCCTCGTATTGTTATATTTCGAGGTTATTTCCGGTAGCACATCGATCCACTTATATTTTCCTTGAAGACTAAATGCCTTGTATAAGGCGTTTTTCAGCGTTCTTATCGTCCTCTCAACTACAGCGGCCTTTTTCACACTATACGTAGAGTAATGATTTATCGCATGCGTTTCCGTTAACTTTGCAAACTCCTTATTATAGAATTCCTTTCCTTGATCAGTTTGTAAATTGACTGGCACTCTTCCTTCTTTCAAAATAGATGTCATAGCCTTACACACTTCACCGGCATTCTTTGATTTTAAAGGTCGTGTCCAAAGATACTTCGAATAGCAGTCTATTACCGTCAGCATGTATTTATTTCCCCGGTTCTCTTTAGAGTACTGTATGAATTCGGCTAAATCCGCTTGCCATAAATCATCGCGATGTTTAATAATGGTTCGTTTTCGAGGAAAATTTTTGCGAGCGGGCTTATGTAGCTCTTCGACAACCTCAAGCTTTGACATCTTACACTTAACTCGGAGGCTAATCGAAACCTAGCCTAGTTCTATGGTGTTTGTTTATTTCCTTTTCTAACTCCTCCAAATAATTTTTATGTCCGTCTAAGATTGACATAATTGTATTTAGACGCACTGCGAGAAAACCGCTGGTTACTGCTTCATCATGTTCCACCGGATCTGCTACGTGTCTTAAACGATTACTCTCCATGTTATACCGATTCATTGTGTACTTAGCATGCAGCTCGCTAATACACCTATCCACATATTGTTTGGTGGCAACATCGCTACCCCAATACGGGTCGATAACGTTACGAATCCTCTTATTTTGCATATTATAGTCCCCATCACCGGTTAATTTCAAATTAACTTTTGCACATTCACCTGTTGTCTCCTGATCACTGCGAATCCTATTTCTTGATGATGAATGACGTCCAAACTTGTCAACGCTCATTGTTACACTAAACTATTATGCCTTCTTCTCTGAGCTCCTCCTCAATACTTGAGATTTCATTGTTGTGACCGGTGTGACCGGCTACTCTCGATGCATGCAGCAATCTAAGACGTTCGACTAATTCGTGGGGCGTATTCCAATACACGTACTCTTTAACTGTATTGTTTACCTCTTTCATACCCGTTCCATAGTGCTCCGATAGTAGTGGTTTAAGGATATTGCGATATTTATGCGACTTGGTACCCACAATCTGATGACCTGGATCGTAATTCCTTCGGTAGCCATTAGTGACATCTAAAATTTCCTTATACACTCGTCCATCCTTGGAAGAAAATTCTTGAGGCTTTTTCAGTACAAGCAATTCATACAACCCTGGAGTACCGTTGTAAATTTTATCCTTTATTATTAAATTCGGTCCGTCAAATGTCACTTTAGAGTCTCCAATAGCCCACTGATCGAAATTGGCATCATATCGAAGACCATAAAAGTGATCAATGTCGCCTTTGGTATCTTTAATCATTCGTTCGATATATTGGCGCGGCAAAACATGATACTGATTTAGAAATTGTTGAGCGGCGTCTTCAGTGTCGAGTAATTGTGATAAGTTAATCGTTTCAGTAGTGTCCTCATCTTCACCTTCTTTCCCGTTATCATACGCTATGTTACTAATCTCATCAGTTTCGATAAAATTAAGTCGTTTAGCAGCTGCTGTGATTGGTCCATTTTCAGAGCGCTGTGGTGTTCGGAACTGTTCTTCTTCTTGAATTGGGGTAGATTCATATTCGATTTTATGTTCAACTTTCGGTATCATATTACGTATTTTGGGTTCTTGCTTAGCTATCTTTTTAAGTGGTTCTACTATTGGCTTATATGTTGCTTCAACCAAGCGTTGAGTTTCAAGCTCGCCTCTTTTTAGCACTTCAAGCTTACGCTTGATAGCATTGCGGGTCTTCGTCAATTTCTGCTTTATCGTTTTATCTCTTGCGTTCATCTTTATGGCCTACACAGATTTTCAAACTGGCACCGGTTCAAATAGCTGTTGGACCGGATCGCAAAGCCGATTGATAGCTGTTGGACTAGTTGGCAAAGCAGATGAACCAGTTGGGAAAGCTGATAGACCAGTTGACAAAGCAGTTGGACCAGTTGGCAAAGCTAATGGACCAGTTGGCAAAGCTGATAGACCAGTTGACAAAGCACTTGGACCAGTTGGCAAAGCTGATAGACCAGTTGGCAAAGCAGTTGGATCAGTTGGCAAAGCTGATGTACCAGTTGGAAAAGCTGATGGACCTGATGGACAAAGCCGTTGGATAGCTGTTGGACCGGTTCTATTAAATCAGATTATAATCTAATATAGCAGTCGAACCCTTTTCGATATCTACCGTAGTCAAAGTCTTTC